GCAAGAGGAAAAATGCCCACCATGTGTATCTAGTCTCTAGAACAGAGCTGTGGCTGAGAATTATGAGGGATGTGCGAACAATCCAAAATGTAATGTACCGTCAGTGTTTTCTAGATAGCTTTTCAGCAGTTTTAGCTAAAGTTCCTTTCCAAACTGAAAGCACAACTTTTAAAGCAGAGTGCTAGAGTGCCCTTTCCCATAGTACGGCAGGACAGCTGTGATCTGGGCTGATCTCAAATGGTTTTGAGGTTCAAGGTTTGTCTCTAAGACATGAGGACACCACCTGTTCTTGTACTTTGGGACACAAGGAGGCATAAGCATACACCAGACAGTGCCCCCTCATTTATCCAAGAATGGTTAGTGGTCATTATATAATTCATAGGATCATAGAATGGTTAGTGTTGGAAGGGACCTTAAAGATCATCTAGTTCCAAACCCCCTGCCATAGCCTGGAACACCTTCCACCAGACAAGGTTACTCAAAGCCCCATCCAACCTGGCCTTGAACATTGCCAGGGATGGGGCATTCACTGCATCTCTGGGAAACCTGTTCCAGTGTCCCACCACCCTCACAGTAAAGAACTTTTTCCTAATGTCTAATCTAATTCAGTTTAAAACCATTCCCCCTTGTCCCATCACTACTTGCCCTTGTAAAAAGTCCCTCTCCAGCTTTCTTGTAGGTCCCTTTTAGGTATTGGAAGGCTGCTATAAGGTGTCCGCAGAATCCTCTCTCTCCAGGCTGAACAACTCCAGCTCTCTCAGCCTGTCTTCATAGGAGAGGTGCTCCAGCTCCCTAACTGTCTTTGCGGCCTCGTCTGGACTTGCTTGAGCAGGTCCATGTTCTGTTTGTGTTGGGGCCCCCAGAGCTGAACCCACCTTTACCCCAGGTGGGGTGTCACAAGAGCAGAGTAGAGGGACAGAATCACCTCCCTTGACCTGCTGGTCACGCTTCTTTTGATGCAGCCCATGATACAGTTGGCTTTCTGGGCTGCAAGCACACACTGCCAGTCATGTTGAGCTTGTCATCAACCAACACTTCCAAGTTTTTCTCCTCAGGGCTGTTCTCAATCCAGTCTCCCCCAGTCTGTATTTGTGCTTGGGATTGCCCCAACCCATGTTCAGGACCTTGCACTTTGCCTTATTGAACATCATGAGGTTGGCATTGGCCCACCTCTCAAGCATGTGCAAGTCCCTCTGGATGGCATCCCTTTCCCTCTAGTGTTTCAACCACACCACACAGCTTGGTGTCTTTGGCAAACTTGCTGAGAGCGCACTCAATTCCACTGTCCAGGTAACCAACGAAGATGTTAAACAGCACCTAAACACCAAACCCCGAGGATCACCGCTTACTGCTGTTCTCCACTTGGATATTGAGCCATTGACCACAACTGTCTGTGCGCAGCCATCCCAA